TTTTTTTCTGTTAATAAAAATAAATTTAATCTGTTCGGTTAACGAATCTCCATAAAATGACGTGTAAAATTACAATTTTTTAAAATTTCAATAACTTTTTAACGGTTTAGTGAATCGATTTGTAATTTTTACAGGAGTTTTAGAATTGAATGAGGAATGTTCTTCTAAATTTTTACTTGTCTCGTAGCATTTTGACATACCTCCCCATACATTCTTAACTGAAGCGAGTTTACTATTGGCGAACGAATCTAGTTTAGCTTTACCTCTACCTCTCTTAACTCCTCTGAAACGCTATTTATGTTTATTATCATAAAAACACGCTTGGATGGGAAGTTGGTATAAAAATAATTATAATAGTAATTGTGGCCAAACAAAATTGCAAAAATACAGATGAAGTTCAGAATCCCCTTTTATAAACATTACAAGCGGTATTCCTTTCACAACACCTGTTTGATCAGAAACCACGGTTGTAATATTGTATAACCGGTCTTCGTTTTGTTTGTACACATTAAAGCCGTATTTTTCGCAATGGACGACAACATCGCGTCATTATTCATCTTCTTCGAACCGCTTGGTTATTAATTTGACAAGCCAAAGTCTAATTCATATTTTCAAAAAATAAACCAGCTGAGCTGACGGGTAAATTGGTGTGAATTTTCGGTAGACCGCACAACATATAATAAGTACATAAGAACATTGACCAATAAAAATACCGTAAATGAATTACATAATACTAAAGAACTAGCCATCCCACAGAAATTATAATGGCAACAATACACTGATTAAAAGTCATTATCAGCGGTCAGTGGCGATTTGACCGTTACTTTGATACATGAGGCATTAATAGATGCAAGGCTTTTTAATGAAGCATTACAATATTATACAGGAAGCCTTATATTCTTTTACGCTTATTTAAACAACGACACAATGCAATTTATTAGTAGTCATTAAATCAGTTCCATGTAAAATAATAATTGTAAATGCTTTATGTTTAAATTAATAAAAAAATATAAGTCTATTTTTCATCGTGGGTAGATGTAAAATGACATGATGTTCGATGTGTAGTGTCAGCTTGACTATCAGAGATGTGATTTATTTGAAATACTTGCACTTAAAATGCAAATACAAAATCTTCCATTTAAATACTTTTTTGAGAAAATTTATTTAAAATACTTTCCCAAAGGTATTTTCTATTTGTAAAATGATAAATACATTTTTGCCTTTAAAAGTTTTGCTAGTACCTATCACCGATCAAACATTATATAAAATGATAAATTAATGTTGGTCACATTGACCCTTGAAGGTATTAGAAACTTAAAAAGGTGACAACGAGACATTCCATAACTGAAGACAGTCCAAAAAATTCTAAACTCCATGGAAATGGATAATCTAAAATATTGGATCGATGTTGTTTTCCAAATTCATTATCAATTCTTAATACTTTTTAGGATAAAAGTATGATGTATCAAATTAACAATCGAAACTTTCTGGCAAAAATTTATACATTTAACAAAACATAAACAATGTTTGTTTTATATTTGCATCCCAGTTTAAAGGAATATTTACATTTGTTTCTGCTTTTTATTTCAATGGTGGCTTTTGTTTTTCTAGATTCGCCGAAGGAAAATCAGACAAAGAAATTCTCGATGACTTGTTGAAACCATCCCGATATGACAGGCGTCTGTTGCCTCCAGTTACAGGTTTGCATTAAACCTAGATAAGAATTGTCTTTTCTTCAAAAACAATAATAAATACTTTTAATCTAATTGCAAAAGAAATAGTTTCGCTAGTACAAAAGATATACGCTTTTCAGTATCAGCATTTAGGAACACTTTATAATAATAAAAATATATTGTAAAAGTGAATTAAATGTAGAAAAAGTGCTTCATCTGGCTTGTCAACTTATTTTAGGCAAAATTTAGACTATACTACGCTTCTGTAATATACTAGTATATTAAAATGCGTTATATTGATAGAATGAGACATTAGATAATACATATTTGTAATACATATTTAACAGATGTATTAATATGTACTGTTATCTATTTTATTTTATTCATGAAAAAGTCACACGCTTGTTTTTGGCAAGACCCTCATGTTATGTATAGTTTAATAACACGATCTCGTAAATATAATACAAAAAATGTACTTTGTGCTTGGGTGTTAATAAACACTCTTTCCCTTTTATAGCGTGGGGTTTGCCTTTCAGATTTCATCAACGTGAAATTTTTCTGTATAATAATTAAATCATAAATATTCAAATAATAATTTCAGAAGAAATACATCTGTCCCAGCTTGTAAACAAGATGAACTGTTCAATTTTAATGAGTTTCGCAGAGGCTTCTGGAACATCACCGGAATATGTATCATAGGGTTGTTCGGAAAGTCATTTCGTTTTTTTTTTTTGTGGAAATGAAAGACAGTTTTCGTATAATAAACAAATACTTTATTAAATTATATCTTGACCGTTCTGGTCCAACACCTTTTGCCATCTTTCTGGTAGTAGCATAATTCCACGCTCATAAAATTTTTGGTCTTTGCTGGCAAAAAACTGATCGAAGAGGTTTTTGACCTTCTCCTTTGAGGTGAAGGTTTTACCGTCTAAAAAATTTTGGAGTGACCGGAACAAATAATAATCCGATGGTGCCAGGTCTGGAGAATATGGTGGGTGTAGCATTGTATCCCATTCAACCTGTAAAAGCTTTTGGCGAGTGACCAAACTTGTGTGAGGTCTCGCATTGTCTTGGTGAAACACTACACCTTTTCTGTTGATTAGTTCTGATCTTTTCTGTTGAAGTGCATCATTCAGTTTGTCCAGCTGATGACAGTAGACTTCCGAATTAATCGTTGTGTTATCCGGTAAAAGCTCAAAAAAAACGATTCCTTTAAAATCCCACCAAACAGACAGCATCACCTTTTTTTGGTGAATATCGGCTTTGGAAATGGTTTGAGTCGGTTCATCTTTTTTGCTCCATGACCTCTTGCGTTTGGCGTTATTGTATACAACCCATTTTTCGTCCCCAGTGATGATGCGCTTCAAAAACGGATCATTTTCGTGACGTTTGAGAAGCGAATCGCAGACGTCAATGCTGCGACACAGATTTCTCTCTGTGAGAACATGGGGAACCCATACATCGAGCTTCGAGGATAATCTCAGGCCTTTCAAGTGGCCATAAACTGTTGAATTTGATAAATTTAACCTCAATCCGATCTCACGTGTTGTTATTCGCCGGTTCACATCAACTAATGCCTTTATGGCGTCTTTATCAACTTCAACCGGCCTTCCCGAACGTGGTGCATCTTCGACATCAAAATTGCCGGATCGAAATTTAGCGAACCAGTTCTGGCACTGGCGTACTGTCAACACACCTTCTCCATACACATCAGTCAATTTCTTTGTGGCTTGAACAGCATTTTTACCCTTTCTGTAATAAAACAGTAAGATATGCCGAAAATGCTGCTTATCGCTCTCCACATTTAAAAGGGCACCAACCAAAAACTACTGCGTAGAATTAATTGGAATTTTTCACACACAAGCCTTGCTATATGAGCCCTCAAAGCATATAAAAGTTATACGGCTTAAATGTGAAGTTGGGTGCAAAAGAATACAATTAAATCCACTGTCGGGAAAAAACGAAATGATTTTCCGAACAACCCGATAGTTTTCATAAAAAAAAGTAAAATTAGAAATTGTCCTGATATTTCTTTCATTAAAATCCAACTAACACGTACGTTGAGGGGAAGGATATCTTACAATTAGTCGGTTGTTTCGTGTTACAAAATCAATTTCCACCTCTGCAGTTGCCTGTTTATCTAGACATCTGGTGCATCATTAGCAGCAATAGAATCTGTTATTAAGTGCACTTCTTCAAGTTGTACGTATTTAAATAATTCCACTATGCAAAGCAGGAGTGCAATAAATGAGAAAAAGAAACTGCAGCCAACCTTCCTAAATGGAATGTTATTTAGTACAAAACTACTCTTTTCTTTTTCATGATTATATCCCATGAATGTGACGCGCTAATGAGAACTTCAAAAAAGTGAAATAAATAGTACGCCTATCGCTTTTTTAATGTACTACCAACCAAGTTTACAGCAAATTGAGGTTACACTTTTTTACTGAAATTGCGGTCCAAAGTAATGTCTTCCCCTTAGCTGACATAACATACTTAATTTTAATGTTGACTGGATTTTATCCGGGACTTCGTTAGCGTTGGTGTGCTAAATACTTGTCAAAGATCATTGACAAAGTTTGTACAAAAATTCTTGATGATCGGTTAAGTAGTCAAGGCGTGAAATTGTAATAAAGAAATTTACATTTGCGTTTATATTAGTCAGAGATGTGATTTATTTGAAATAGTTGCATTTAAAATGTAAAAACAAAATAAAAATACCTATTTTTGCCTTCCATTTAAATACTTTTTTGAGAAAATTTATTTAAAATACTTTCCCAAAGGTATTTTCTATTTGTAAAATGATAAATACATTTTTGCCTTTAAAAGTTTTGCTAGTACCTATCACCGATCAAACATTATATAAAATGATAAATTAATGTTGGTCACATTGACCCTTGAAGGTATTAGAAACTTAAAAAGGTGACAACGAGACATTCCATAACTGAAGACAGTCCAAAAAATTCTAAACTCCATGGAAATGGATAATCTAAAATATTGGATCGATGTTGTTTTCCAAATTCATTATCAATTCTTAATACTTTTTAGGATAAAAGTATGATGTATCAAATTAACAATCGAAACTTTCTGGCAAAAATTTATACATTTAACAAAAAACATAAACAATGTTTGTTTTATATTTGCATCCCAGTTTAAAGGAATATTTACATTTGTTTCTGCTTTTTATTTCAATGGTGGCTTTTGTTTTTCTAGATTCGCCGAAGGAAAATCAGACAAAGAAATTCTCGATGACTTGTTGAAACCATCCCGATATGACAGGCGTCTGTTGCCTCCAGTTACAGGTTTGCATTAAACCTAGATAAGAATTGTCTTTTCTTCAAAAACAATAATAAATACAACAAAAGGAAGAAGTTCTTTATAAGCTACTGACAGTGAAATTTTAAACAGTAGCGGCTCGTGGACTTCTATATTAACACTATATACGAAACGAAAACGATTTTCCTTTTTTTTTTTTAAATAAATATAATCCTAACTTCTATTAGTAACAATTACTTAATTTTTAATTGTCGTTTCAGGTTCACTAGTTGTAAATATGAGTGTGTTACTTCTAAGTTTAGCATCCCCTGACGAATCAAGTTTGGTAAGGGATTAAATGATAATTAAACACTATTTTTAATTATTAATAATTTTGTTATTGATTATAGAAATACGAAGTAGAATTTTTACTGCAACAACAATGGTACGACCCACGATTGAAATACACAAACCAAAGCAAGTTCGACTACTTGAACGCCATCCATCATCACGAATTTATGTGGCTGCCGGACACCTATTTCATTATGCATGGGGACTTTAAAGAACCTCTCATTCCCGTACATTTCGCCCTCAGGATATATAGAAATGGTACCGTGCATTATGTCATGAGGTACGGGGAGAATTTTTAATTAATTTTTAATGGCCCCGTCGTGAAAGTACTTAATAATAACCGACATCAAAACTAAAAAACATTGAACTAATTTTATAGTATTTAATATTCGAAAAATAACTCCCTGACACAAAAAGTTTCTTCCAAATGTACTCATTTTATGGACATAATGATAATTCTGAACGAAAACATATTAATAGTCTCTAATAGGCATAAAACAATTCATACATATTTAACTATCCATTACTACCGAATGTTGAAAGGCATAAATAACTTTTCATGCGTTAAAACACTTACTTTGTTAGACTCATTTTTGGATTTAATAAAAGAAAAACTAAAGCTTTTGTCTGTGAGAAAAACACTGTGAAACAACAGAATGTTCATTAACGTCTAATCGTTTGGAATTAGAGCTTCATGTAAACACAGTAATTTTCCTAAAATCAAGTATAGAAATCATATAGTCGACGCTGATTCTCACTATTTTTTTATTGCCTGCACAGAAGGCTTTAGAACTCGCCACACTCATTTCAGTAGATGTGTTTCTTATGTAGATAATTCTCATATATAAATAATCGTTTATGTTTAAAAAATCACCTCCAAAAATGAGTCCCTTCCAAGATAGAGGAAAGGGAAGCAATTATTAGGTACTGTTTTACACCGCTTACTACCGGCAGCATTAAACGGACTCGCCGCACTCGTCAACTCAATTAGTTTTCTGAGCAGCGGCGAGTTATAATCGAGTCTCATCGAGTTACACACAGCCCCTGTAGTCTACTGTTTTCTTACGTTATAGCTGCACTCATTTTTCTCCGCTGCGGTGAGTTCCAACAGAGTTGCGGCGAGTTATAACTGAGTCTCGTCAAATAATGTTTCATTTTTTCATCAAATTTCTTATGCACTGTTTATTAAAACGACTTAGCTGCCTTTGAAGATATGCATGTTTCACTATTTACGTAAATACATGTAAAATCATGCATTAGAACAAAGAGAAATGGATTTGATACAATTATCTACTACCATTTCTGCGGAATCCATAACAATACGGAATCAATACTGAAAATTTCAGACACGAAGTCGCCTGTTATTCAATAATGTTTGCTGTGCTCTTACACTTAATCTACGCCACATACGTTTGTATGCAAATTAGTGATAACAACATGAATTTAATATGATAGCGTGTTTCTACTAATATACTAATACTGCAACAATGGGGCATGTATGGTCTCCGTTAAGCAGTTTATTTTACTTTACTACAGCGTCAGTTTTTAAGGTTTCTACAAAAAATATTATAACAATAAGCCATCCTATAAATTGAAAAAATCGGAATGCTAAACAAGCTTCAGCTTTTAAGCGAAACACTACAAATATTTTGAGAACTTGATCGCTAAGTGATGTATTTACTAATCAATTTGTTCCCGAAAGCGAAATGCTGATATCTAGCTCGGATTTCAGTGAAAAACTCCCGAATTCTCTGGAGTAAATAAGACTAAACGAAAACTTTCTTTAGATCTTCTTTTTAGTCAGAAAATCATCCAAATACAAAGTACTTCCGATTTATCGACTGCCGAATAGTGTCAAAATTTAGCTGCCTTATCAGGATTTTAATTTTAAGTATGTATTCCAAATACTTTTCATTCAAGTGTGAAAGTAAGTAGATCGAAATTTGTAATTTCCTTCACGTTTACTGTAGTCTTTCCCTTCGGTTTGCTGTATCGCAGCTGTGACAGCTTCCTGCTTTAATAACATTTCTATCCTGAAACAACTGCAAGCACAACAGTACAATGTTAACGTAATGTGGAAATGCATTCTACATTTGGACGCCTTCCAAAAAATGTCGCAAACCTTACGTAATATATTAGTTTAAAAAGCGACGATGCAAAAAATACGGTACCTACAGGAAAGGAACAGGATAGTTAAGATATTAATATGATTTACAGTTACGGGAAATACCACGAGTGTCTTTTTTATGTATTATCATGTTTATCCTAAAATTTTAAATTCATTTTTGGCTATTCTTTTCAAACTATAGACTGGCTTAGCCCATAAAATTAATTAGGAGGAAAACCTGGGCAATTTTTACAATTTATTAATAAATTAATATTGAATATGTCTATTTAATGGTTCAAATTAATTATTTTTTCAACAGGCGTCATCTCATTTTGTCGTGTCAAGGTCGATTAAACGTTTTCCCATTTGACGATCCAAAGTGCGTATTTGCCATGGAAAGTAGTAAGTCACTTTTTGTTACCAACCGTACAAAAATTAAGATATTAATACCACCCCAACTGTTTTAGTTTCATACGAACAATCTTTAATTAAATACGTATGGAAAAACGACGAAACAACGCTGAGAAAGTCGCCGAGTTTGACAACCCTAAACGCGTACCTTATTTCTAACAAAACCATCGACTGTCCCACCAAGGCAAGCTGGAGGGGTAAGTTGTTTTATTGTGGTAACCAGAAGGAGCCTTTTCTAAAATTTCGTCACACGAAATTATCTTTTTATTGAATTTTATTTATCTAACCACGACTGCTGAGTCTAATTCTACAACAAAGTCGTTGTACAAGCATTTGAAAAATGGTAATAGGTGGGAATTAGGTCAAAAGAAATTTAATGGATGGATAGTGGATATATTTAATGGATATAGTCCGTGTTCAACAGTAAACAAGTCGTAAAACGGTCATAAAACGTCTCCGGAATTTCGTAAAGAATTGGCTAATTTGCTTAGTGCATCCTGCTGCGGTAAATCATTTAAATTAGATCTTAATCAAATCTGAACTGTTACCGTAATGTTAATGTTCTTAAATGTTTAGATTGACGGATAATCGATGACGACTTCTTCTGGTTACAAAATTATAATATAAAGACGTTCACTTCAAGTCTCCTCCGACAACAACCCTTCAATGATTTATTACTTTCAGAGAACTTCAGCTGCCTGAGGGTAGAATTAGAGTTCACCCGTGACAGAGCGTTTTATTTTACAACCGTGTTCATCCCAGGAATTATACTGGTCACTTCTTCGTTTATTACGTTTTGGTTAGAATGGAACGCTGTTCCAGCTAGAGTAATGATAGGTAATTATTGCTCTTCTTTGTTGTTCTATCGAAAAAGACTTGCAAGAAAGTCAACTAGCAATAGTGAGTCAAGCAACTCGCCGCCAATATCATAATTTTCACTTAATAAGAAGCGACGAGTCGCTCGGCTTGCAAAAAACTTAGCGGCGAGTCATGCAACTCGCAACGGACTCGTCGCTACTGTATTTAAGAAACTAAACAAGCAGCGACGAGCTATTCGACTCGCCACTAGCTCTTCAGAGATAACATAACGTGAATTTAACAAAAAGCGGCGAGTCATACAACTCGCAAAACAGTTGAACTTAATAGCGTAAATTTCATAAACAGTGGCGAGTCATGCAACTCTTAAGTGGCTCGCAGAAGTAAATTAAGCATGCAGCTACGAGTCAACCGACTCGGAAATGGCTCTCCAGCAATAACATAACATAAATTTAATAAAGAGCGGCGAGTCATACAGCTCGTAAGGGAGTTGTCGTTAATACTTTAAAGATCGCGTAAATTTAACAAACAGCGGCGAGTCATACAACTCTTTAGGAGCTCGCAGAAGTAAATTAAACGTGCAGCGACGAGTCACCCGACTCAGAAATGGCTCTCCAACAATAACATAACATAAATTTAATAAAGAGCGGCGCGTTATACAACTCTTAAGACACTCGCCGTTAATAACTTAAAATAAACTAAACGACAATCGACGAGTCGCCTGTCCCACAAGTAGCTAGCCGCATATACGCGAGCAACATCTACACGTCAATAGCCTCAATGGCTTAAACGAGTAATAGTGAGTGATTCTTTTGTGTTGTAGGTGTAACTACAATGCTCAACTTTTTCACTACATCGAATGGTTTTCGATCGACATTACCTGTTGTGTCCAATTTAACCGCCATGAATGTATGGGATGGCGTTTGTATGTGTTTCATATACGCATCATTGTTGGAGTTTGTTTGTGTGAATTACGTTGGAAGAAAGAGGCCTTTACATAACGTAGTCTATAGGCCAGGGGAAAACCCCTTTACCCAGGTACGTACCAAAACTTATTTTTATTTCACTTTACGGACGGAATGAGTATTCACATACTATTATTGTTTTTTTCTCATGTAATTTTCAACTTTGAAAACTAGTATGTTGCCTATGGCTAGAGTGAAGGTACATTTTCTTTAATAAAATCATATTTTATTTAAAACACGATGAAGAAAAATTACTGAGTTGTCAAATTGTGTACACAAAAACTGTAGAACCTGTACAAATTATTCGAAACAATTGAAATATTTTTTTCCATTTTTGGATTAGTACCTACCTTCGAATGGAAGTTTTTTAAAGGAGGTAATAATAGAAAAGAAAAGCAAACTAAACAATAAACTTAGTATACAGTTTAGTGTCAAATTCAATACTTAAGTATTTAAATGTACATAAATAGAGAATAAGCCTAAAAATTAATTAACTCAAGATTCCTACTTATAACTAACCTTTGTTCGTTGATGTGGCAGTCGTAGATTTAGGATCACGGTGTGTTTTGCAAGTTTCGATTTCTATTCTTCTTCTATTTTCTATTTGCATGATCTAGACGAGCATGTTATGTGAAATAAAAACACTGGCCCAAAAACATCCCTTCAAATTTAATGGTAGCTTTAGATTTAATAATCTGGCTTTAAATGAACCATTTATACATAATCGAACTTATTAGAAAGTTGAATATAACATTCCTATCCAAAAAATTAATTTTGAATTCTTTTCGAGTGGTAAAAATCAGGAAATTGCCAATTTTATAAAAGCTACCGTAAATTGGATTCGATATTTTTGAGCTAATTAGTTGTTTTCCAATACTTGGCCAAATTAAAATTTCGTTACTCAAAAAAACGTTTGCTGTGGAGTTAGTAAATTCCATTCTCTTTAGTTTTTATAAAATAAATGTCAATTTGTAACTAATTCCAAGTCCATTTAATACAGTACAGGTATATAGACCTATAACAGCGCGCAGAAAGCTGACCTTTAGTTAAAATTTTTAATTGGTCGAAAATTTCAATAAAAATATTTAAAATTTTCTTATTTTGCGATATTATTACTCAATTAAGAAGAGAACATCTTGCAATATAACAAAATTATGGTAAATATCTATAAACTGCTGTAATAAGAAAAAAGTGATTCTAAAAAGTTTAGATCAATTAAAATAGAGTTGTAGATATGAACATTAATTAAATTGATACTATTCTCGTAGACAACTTTGATTTAATTTTTTCGAGAAGGGATTAATATAAAACGTAATTGGTATTGTAATATTGTAAGATGTTCTTAGTACCATGAGAAGATTTGCGGTTGAAATTGGTGACGCGAGCAAGCCTACCATTTAATTATTATTCAACGGTTGGTAAGATTGCTGGCGAACTAATTGTCATCAGCAGCATATCCTTTTTTCAGAAAGGTGTAACCCGAACTTTGTTTGATCTGTCATGTTGCAGCGACTGCCCGCTGTTCTAAGCAGGATAGGCATTATACTCGCCAGTCCCTTGGTAAGCCCAAAATCTGACAATCGTAACCATTATATCTGAGTAGGCTTAGTTCATTTTCGGCTCACAAACCCCGCTTCTGTTTTATATATACATATATATACCCTTATTATTTGTTATTATGTCCAGTACAGTACTGTAAGTTAACACGTGGGGTGTTCCAAAATCGTCGTCTAAAAAATAAAATCAGTCCGGATCTGGACACTTACACACCAGATATCTGCATCCGCAAAAGCCTTGCAGATGTCAAAATTAGTGTAAATTTCTGATAATATCTCTGAAAGAACTAATCAATTATTAACTACAGTACGTACTGTAGAAAATTGTACAGGCCCGTCTTCAGAACATTTCTGTGAGTCTATTTATAACATTTTATAACTCAGTCTGGTTCTGGACTCTTACACACCAGATATCTGCATCCGCAAAAGCCTTGCAGATGTCAAAATTAGTGTGAATATTCGCAACATCCCTGAAAGAACCAATCAATTATTAACTACAGTGCGTACTGTAGAAAATTGTACAGGCCCGTCTTCAGAACATTTCTGTGAATCTATAACATTTTATAACTCAGTCCGGTTCTGGTCCCTTACACACCTAATATCTGCATCCGCAAAAGCCTTGCAGATGTCAAAATTAATGTGAATATTCACAACATCCCTTAAAGAACTAATGAATTGTTAACTACAGTACGTACTGTAGAAAATTGTATAGGCCCGTCTTCAGAACATTTCTGTAAGTCTACATATAACATTTTATAACTCAGTCCGGTTCTGGCCACTTGTCGCCATCCCCCGAAGGGATGTTGTGAACACAAAATTTTCGAAAATGCGATTTCTTGTCTAACATCTACATCCGCAAAAGATTTACGGATATCAAAAGTATAGTGTACGTAGGTACTAAAGAAAATTGCACAGGTCCGTCTTCAGAACACTTTTGTGAGTCTAATTTTAAACATTTTCTTATTATTGTCTCAAAAAATTTGGTTTTTAAATTGTCGCCATTATGTACTGATATTGGAACACCCTGTAGATTATGTGTCTCGACCCTTTTTAGTCCAATAATACTAATGAAGGAAGGGTGCACCCGGTTGATCCCGTAGAATTGTCTTTTTGACAAACATGACAATCACAAATGCAGTAGAAAATTAATGGTCTCCTACCAGTTCTTTTTAAACTACTAAACCGTTTTTTTATTTTAATTTTCTAACATTTCATTTGTTCTATTTACTTTTTATTATTTGTATAACTCGGTAATACTATACACGTTAGAGATGCGTGGGAAATATAAACCATATATATCTTTATTTGCGTTATTTTATCAAAATTTTCAGCAATTTAAAAGTGATTTCTTTGTTTATAGTCGAATGTAACACAAACTAATCAAAAAATATTTTAAAATACCAAATATTCTTCAAAACAATGTGTTTCACCAAAACGCTTGTATCCCTAGACAAAACCAGATATTTATTTTACTTATGAAAGTAAAAGTGATTTTCCTATCTGCTTTATTTGCTAATCCTTATTGTTGCACTTCTTTTATTATTGCTAGTTGTTTGTTAAGTTGGCTAGCTTTCTAATATGCACTGCACCCGCATTATTTAGTATTGTATAATTGCTACGTTGTAGAAGCTTTTAAAAATTATTCTTTCTAACCGCAATATTATTAAAATAACAATTTATTTGTTGCATTTATTTTATAAGGAAATTGCAAATCAGAATAATTTGACAGTAACTTAAGGAAAATATTATAATAAGCATGTATGCTAAACAATAGTTAGGACAACTGTTTTTGAATGCCACACTGTTATTAATTTTATTAATTAAAGTGCCTACACATGGATGAACAGACACATAATTACTTGTTCTATCTCAACTTCGTGTTAATGACTTTCATTAAAAACTCAAAACGAGAATGGGTGTCATTTATTAAAAGAAATGTTAAATACTATATTTCATTTTTCATTCATCTAAAATCTTGTAGCTTGTCCAGTCGCGTGCCATTCTACAATAATTTTCTTGGTAGACAAACCTTCGTGAGAGGTTATTTATATGCACTTCCTTAGTTTCTTACTTTACTTTAATAAGAAGTTAATAAACAGGAGAGTACATACAGTACTTTTATTACTATTTGGTAAATTTCACCCTCATATTCATCTAAAAATTTTAAATATTTGTTTCGAGATTTCTCATTAATCATCAATAATTCGAATTTTATTATCTACCTTGTGTGTCTGTTTATTTGTATTACAAGAGGGCTGTATTGTACCTAGTAGTGCAATTATTCAAATAAAGTACCTAAATAGGTAACAGGTACAGCAATGGTAATTTTCAGTGAACTTTCAAGGGTTGTTATGAAAGATTAATTATAAAAAAATTATTATTATCCATATTGAGATCATTTAAAGCACAATACGCGGAAGAAATTTAACGCTTTCATCTTTTTTCTGCCGATGGAATAATAAAGATTAACAATCCATGTATTTTCGACAATTTTGTAACAATCCCTTCGTCCAAAAGAATAAAGAGAGTTACCTGATGCTAAACTAACAACCAAAATAATAAGAATAATAAAAATAAGCATCTATTATGTGTTTTGTATACAGGGTGACAAGAAAAGGGACTCCAATGTACCCAACGAAATAGTCGCCTGTAGCACGTGCGGAGCCAGCACTTGTACGCACACCGCAAATAACGGATGTCCCACAGAGGTAAATTTTCTTAAAATAATGCTCTCTTGTGTGCCTTAGCTTCGCAACATTAATATTTACAATAAATAAAAAGTAGTTGCTTTTCTACTTGGACAAACACCTCAACTACCTCGACACGAATACAAGAACATTGTCGCGAACAAAACTCTAAACTATGACCCTCTATACTCCTGCTTCTGCTTCATATCTCTCCTTTTCCTTATTGACATCTACAGCGCCCTCTGTTCTCTTTCCATCGATTTTTGTCAGTCAAATTGGGATAATTAAAAGAACCTGAAAGAAAATGCTTCTACAGTCTGGATTAGTGTCAGACCGGAGCATGATTGTCCCTCAGTTACCATCATTGGGAAAGCATCATAAAGTTTTCCTTTCTTACGTTATTTCCCTTTTTATTTTGGCTTTTCTTCGAATTTACTCCCATGTCCCATAGTAAATACGAACCCATACAAAAAGTAATGACATGTAGGACATGCGATATAAGAATGATTGCAGATTACGCGGTTTTTAGTGCCTCTTCAAGCTATACGTATATATAGATAATACTTTAGGTTCTTTTAAAAGCTTGGCTACATAGATGCAAGAGCAGCTATTAAGTGTATCTACTCACTGATTTTAGTCCTCATTTTCTAACCTGGAGTAGGCATGTATTTTACAGGTTCGCAAGAAGGAGCCCCCCCATCCCATACGTGTGGCAAAAACAATAGACGTTATAGCACGTGTAACGTTCCCATCTGCCTTTGCAGTGTTTCTCATTTTTTTTTTCTGCCACTACAAGAGCTTCACAATCCCACAACACGGAGAATAGACCAGAAAATAACAACAACAACAACGAAAACAATAGTACCTAATGTCACTTCTAGTCTTTTAGTTTAATAAGATAATCGCGAAATACTAAAGGCGAAAATTGACCTTTATGAAACGATTAATACACAATTAATTAAATACATATCATCTGTCCCAAAATGTGCTCTATGAACTGTTCCTTTTTTTCATCTTTTTATTTATTCTTGGTTAGTTTTATACCATTTTCCCATGTTGAAATGCGTTGTAATCATGATACGGTATGTAATTTAGTTAAGGCTTTCGTGATCATTGTTTGACAGTCAGAACGGTCTTAAAGAAAACTTCACTATCAGAATTCAGAGAAAAATCGGTTGTTATAAAAGAAAACTGATTACATACCTAGATCAGACAATTTTTAATCGCACTTACCATAATTTGCTTATAACAAAGTCGTCATGTGTTATTAAGAATAAGTTTTGTTAAGTTATTTTTAAAAAGAAGAACCGTTATTTATTTTTAGTGTTGTTGCAAAATATATTTTGAAAAGATGTTCCATTTCGTAAACTCATTGTGATATGAAAATTTAAGTACCTTATTTATTATATATATGTAGCTACCT